AGAGGGCTTTAGCAACTTCAGCTTCGATCGTGGTTCGATATTTCTATTTGTCAGCAAATGCTCAACCTTCAGCCCCGAATTCTTCATGTTACTAAGCCTCAAACCCTGCACCCTGAACCCCCAAGCATAACACACCCCACAAAATTCCGAAAAGCCGTGTAACAACCTATGACAAAACCCAGGTTTTGGCACGACTCCGCAACTTTACGCGGCCGATCGTTGCCAGCTTCCAGTTCGAGGTGTGCCAGCTCGGGGTTTCGAGTCTGAGGATCATGGGACTTGGTAACTGGCGTTCCTTTAAGGGGCCCCTTTAAAGGGATCTATAGGGGTTCCTTAAAGGGATCTATAGGGTTTAGGGTCTAGTTAAAGGATCATGGGACTTAGTAACTAGTGTTATAATTAGGGTAATTATACTTATAAGTACTTAGAACCCCAATTAAGGTACTTAAAACCTTAGTTACTAAGGGCCATGATCCTCGAAGTAAGGGTTCAGGCTTAGGATCGAGGGTTTGTTTAGGGCAGGGTTTAGGACTCCAATTAAGGGCTCCTTCGAGGTTGGGGTTGCGAGAGTGGTTGTTTGAAGGGCTATTCCAGGGAATGGAAGCCAAGTTCCTTCGAAAAGAACCCTTAAACATAGAACCCTCAACTGAAAGCTCGATAGTGCCCTTAGAGAACCCTAAAATAACACTGTTCCTACCCTTTCAAATGGATCCTCGCCCTAACCACCGCAGTGGCAACCGACAAGCTGGTCAGGCGGTCTTTGGCGTTCTGCAGCTGAGCCGCAAGCATGTGTCCTCGCTCCAGATCCCCCCCTCTACGGGTTACTTCAAAGGTTACTTACGGGTTACCCAGAGGCTGCAAAGTAGTTCCTTTCTGTGGTTCATATTTAGAATCCTACAAGGAGTGTGAGGGCACAGGAGGGGTTTCGACATTATCAGGGTCCCTGCACAGGTCCTATAGAAGCGACGCAGGGTTTCCTCTGGCTGTTCCGTTAGCTGTATCACTGGCTCCTAAACCTGTTGAATATGCTCAAGAGACTGAGCCCCAACGCCCCACCCCCCGAAACCCTTCAAGAAAGCTGGCGCCAAAGACGGTGAGCTCCCCCCATTCGAACTCGAACAGCCACAAAGTTCAAGATCGGCGCAGGATTGTCGGTTTCCCCTTCAACACTTGGCCAACAATCCCTGTAAGACCCACACCGAAAAACCATCATTGGCGGCAAGGATTTGCCTGAACACGCTCGTCATGGCACTGCAGAGTGAGTACAATGGTCTTGACACCGGCTACAACTTGGGCACCCTGGCAGAAAATTCAAGGGCCTCCTTTTCGGTATCGGCAAAACAATTAGTCAAGATCTTGCCGTTATGTCGGGTCCTGCATTTTCTGAACCTTCCTGGGTGTTCCTGCCCGTGTGCTTTGCGGGGGCTGTTCCAAGTCTAGGGGGTTTATGCAATGGAGTCACTTGGTATGTTGGGCAGATTGGCATGCTCACACCTTTACTACGCATAGAAGCGCTTCTTGCTGAGAATAGCGAAGTTCAACCTGATGTCACAACGAGACTAGTCGCAAAAGAGCTGATTTGACGGGCGATTTGCATGCATCACAAGGAGAAACATCAACACACAAAAAACATCCACGAAAGCTGTCCAGGCACTAATTCGGCTTAGTACTACTTTGTTTAGACTTTAGGCCACACTGCCCCATCCTTCCTGCAAGTCTCGGCAGCCGTCCCCAACTCTGCAGCCCAGGTTTTCCCGGTGCCACAGCCGCAGGGAGTCTACTCTTTTATCTTGCCGGGGTCGGGGCTCCGGGTACAAGCAGCGCTCTGTCAACACAGAGGACGAGACAGTTAGTTTTCAATAGTATTCCTACGGGATTCTTCATGTTCATAGTACAAAACTGGACCCCAAGACAATCAGCAAATACAAAGCTGTGCCCCAAAAACCCTAGTCTAATCATTCAGGCCCCTATGGTAGGGCTTGGGCCTGACTTTGAAGCACTATCTTTAAGCCTTGGTTTTCGGACCTCAACAGCTCTCGTGATATCGGTGGCCAGTATCAAAATAGGGGCTCCCTTAAGGGGCTCTGTAAAGATTACGGCATCATTGGGTTCTATGATAGATGGGCGATAATGTGTAGAGCAGGGCCTGGGGGGAAAGTTATATGAAGCAGCCCCGAAAAAAGACTATTCAAAAAGCTCCGAATGCAGAGCTCTAAACGTCGAAGAACTGGGAGTGGCATTCAAGAGCTGCCCAGGCGAACCCGGAGGTCCAGAACAAACAGGGTATCTTGAACCTTAGAGCCGAAACCATGAACCTCAGAACACGAAAATGGGTTCTGGACTGTTATCCGTCGATTCCCTCTGCCGCAAATCCTCTGAAGCACTTCAAGTTCCTCGACCCCTTGAAGCAATTACGACCTTTAAATGCCCAAAACCCTCAACCCTCAACCCTAAACCCTGAACCCAAAGCCCTAAGCCCTAAAGCCCTAGGCCACAGAGCCCACGCCCAAAACTTCCGAGGCATCAGCAGCCCTGCCATTGAAAGCTGGCCAGGGGTCTACGACATCTTCTGGGGACTCGAGTTCCTCTGGCAAAGACAAGACATGGGTGGTTGTCAAAATTCGGGTCCTTTTTGGGTCCTAAGAAATAGTACGCACGTAATATTTAGGGTACCCAAAAAGGGACCCTAATTTTGACAACCACCCACATCCTAAAGGGTTTGGGGTTTTGGGTTTAGGGAATCGCAGTGTAAGGGTTTCGGCTTCAGGGTTTAGGCCTTAATGTGTAGACCAGGGTTCATAGTATTTTTGATATTCGGGACCTTAAGGTCCATAGTGGCAACGATTCAAGCTTCTATATTAGGGAGTGAGCAAGGCGCGCGCAGCTGAGCTGTGCCCTATGACACCTAAACAGTGTCTTAAGCATGTAATTACCCACCAGAAGACGGCTGTGCCGAGCCTTTTCAGGTTTCCTAGTGGCAACAGACAGCATGAGACTGCAGCACTGCAGTTCACTCGCCGCACTAGTGTGTTGCAGCCCCATGTGGAAAATAGCAGTCTCAGTGGCTCCTCGCATGCTGTCCGCAAGGATGCAACGACCAAGTGCCTCCAGATGTTGCAGTACAGCACGCACGTAGTCGTACTGACCATCGACCCCCAAGAATTCGCAAGTCGTGGACGTAGAGGGGCCAGAAGAATGGCCAATATTGGTCCTTTCATTCGGGTTCTCGATGAAATTTGAACAGAACCCCCAAACCCTACTCCGATCATTAAAGCCGCAAAATCACAGAATCCCCTACCTAGTCTCTTCGGCCCTTTGGATGCTTAGGGCTCATGCCTCTGAAGCTTACAGACATGTCCGCCCCGGAAAGCTTTCCCAGAGGCGCATGCACAGCGATGCCGAGCCGAGATCCATAAATCTGAAGACTTGCATGTTGAGTTCTTACTGAAATCCTCAACCTCAAACCGGTGACCGGAAACCCACAACCCCAAACCCAAACCTCAAACCCTAGACCCCAAACCCTAGGTCACTTTGCATTTAGAAAACCTTAAACCTCAAACCCAAATCCTTCTCTGGTTCTGAAGCTCCTATATAAACCGTAAACCCCAAACCCTGAACCCCAAACCCAAGCCCTTCTCTAGTTCTGAAGCTCCCTTTATCTGGCCCAGGCTCTTCTTTGGGATCGTCTTCACGGCTGACCCCCGCCTGGTCTAGGGTTTACTTGGAGGATCATGGGACTTAGTAGGTAAGGTTATAAGTACCTTAATTGGGGCTATAAGTAGTTATAAGTATAGTTACCCTAACTATGACCCTGTTGCTATGTCCCATGATCCTTTAAGTAGGGTTTAAGATGGAAGAGCGAAGCGCGGACATGTCATGCAGGGTTTGCACCCTGGGTTTCATAGTCCACTGCCGCAAGTCTGTTTGTAAAGAGATATCCGATGGTCGCATGGAGGGTGTAATACAGTATGGCCCTGAACTTTCAATGACTTTAGTAAATATCATTAGGATTCCAGACAGTTCCTGTTAGTTCCTATTATAGCAATAGTGCAAATACCCCCTACGCTTAGTAGTTATTCAAATTTGCAACGCTCCTGTATTATGATTTGAAGAATTACGGTTGGCCCTGCCTTAATGCTGCAGGAAAACCCGCCCTACCCTTCCGACACCACACAAGACCCCGAATATCGAAGCATCTAACTCCCAGGCAAACAATAGACGGTTGCAGAATGATCTCCTTGAAGACCGAGACCCTACACCCTAAGCCTGCACCCTAAATCCTAAAGCCTAAACCCTAAGCTCTAAACCAGCATTCCTTCGCTACACTCGGCCCTGCCGCGGGCCTGAGCCTCAACCCATTCAACCTTGGCCCTTGACCCTGAGCCTTCCCAAAGGCCTGAATGCTTTCTGTTAATGTGGGAACCTGATTAAGAAACCCTGGGCCTATAACCCCAAAATACCAGGATTCATATAAGGAACCCCAATTCAGGCCCAAGGTTTCTTAATCAGGTTCCTACAAAAACCCCTTTCGAGAGAGATCTCCCATAAACGGTAAAACCCTTGTAGGAACCAACACAGGAACCCTTGCAGGAACCCTGACTAATCGGAACCCCTTAAAGGAACCCTTCCCCTGCAGCCCATGCGTCTTGACATCTCAGGAGATCATCCTCAAGCTCAGTGTGTTCTATCACTACTTCTTCTTGGACTCCGGGGTAGGGTTGATGGCTTTGGGTTTGGGGGTTTGGGGTTTGGGATGGAGGGCTTAGGGTTTGGGGTTTAGGGGTTTTGCGGTTTGGGGTTTAGAGTTTTAGGGTTTGAGGTTTCGGGGTTTTAGGGTTTGAGGTTGCGGGGTTTAGGGTTTAGGATTTCGGGGTTTAGGGTTTGGGGCAGGAAGCACGCCAACAAATCTGCCCCCCAAACCCTACCCAAATTAGAAAAAGTCCGTACATCAACAAGCAGACAAACTCTAAAGCACAGAGCCTCTCAAACTGCCCGTCGCCATGCAATGTGCCATGCAGCCGACGGTTCCCGTTGTCAAGACATGGGGCAGCCCCGGCTTCAAGAGGTGGCAGCTTCCGCGGCTCTGCCTGGTGAAGTGGCTTAGGCAAGAGCTAGGAGATTGCCAGTTGAATGGCAAGCCTCCCGTGAGCCTTTATCGTTGTTTTTCCGCAGCCCCAGGCCCGGTGCATCTTCATTTTTTTCCGTTTCTCTTCTTTCAGGACTGCGGGTGCGCTTTCTTCCCTTTCTTCCTTGCCCGCATAATACTACTTTGTGTGGGGGGGGGGGGCAAAAATTACTGTGGTTGCTTGTTTGCCAGCAAAACCGCTGAAATAAGAAGACCAATAATGCTGCTGAAAAGGGAACACTCTATTCTATTTGCCCGACCTCATAGCCCTGCACTCCCCCCAGGCCTCCTAACCCTCTCCCTCATCGCCCTCTCCCACCCCCTTTCCCACCCCTCACCCCTGTCCCCTGCCTCTCTGTGGAGCCCCTGTGTCCGGTCGCTTGTAGCCTTCCAGCCCCGTTGCGACAGTGCCTGTATCTGTTTGCCAGGAAGCGTTACCTCAGCCAACTTCGAACAGACAGGCGGCTTCTCCTGGTGGCACTTTGGCAGGACTCGGAGGGGACCAAATGGCGCTGGTGTGCCCAAGGCCGATTGGGCCGATGGGCCTGCTGCCTTCCGTGTCACCGTATAACTTGACGAGTTTCAAGATGTTGTGCTGCACCAGGTGTCGTTTGATCACTCCACTGGAGGCAGAAAGAGAATCCAAACTACATTTATTTGCTTGGTCTTCCAGGTGGCATGGAAGGCTGCACCTGCAAAGCGTTCATACACCCCACGAGCGCGCGGCGCCTGGTGTCGGGCGACAGAAAACCATTGCATCTGCCTGACAGGACGGCCGAACCAACAACCGCTGGTGCGTGCCTGGCGGCAAAAATCCTGATGGCCACAAGCTCTACATCACGACCCCGTCGGAGCTGTGATTTTGTCAGACGTGCGACGCTGCGTCGAGGTGTGGGTTTTGCTTCCCTGCACTCCCTGCCAGACAGGGCGGGTGCCGCTCCTTCCACCCCATGGAGCGGTCTGATCCTAGGGCTGAGGACTTAGGGGTTGTGGGTCTCGGGTATGCGGGTTCAAGGTTTTGGGCTTTGGGTGCAGAGTTTTGACTGGAGTTTCGGGTTTAAGGCTATAGGGTTTTGGGTTGCGGTTGAGATATGTCAGGGTGTAGTTATGGTTAGCAACATTTGTAGTGGTTGAGATGTGGGGTTTAGGGGCTACTACTTTGGGGATCGGTGTTCGACACTAGAGAAAAACAGTGTTACTTCCAGTAGTGATAATAGCAACGATAGCAATAGCACTCATATACTTATCCAATATTAACAGTAGTACTAGCAATAACATCAGCAAGTAAAACCAATATTGCTGGGTCTTTGTAGAGAAGTCTCATAGTCTCGAGCAGGACATGTGGAATTCCTTGGACTTCCTCGTCGTCGCCGTGGCCAAGCTGCAATCGGTCGCCAAAAAAACAAGATTGAGGGGTAATCTCGAGCCCCTGAACCCTATCAGCCAGGTCTCAAGCTGGGCCCCACGGCTGGAGAGGGAGGGGTTATGGTCTGCACAGCTCGCCCAAAGCCATCGCAAGAACAGCACAAGCAGCGGAAGGCGAACACCCAACTCACCCATCCTCAACAGCCCAGAGCACCCCAAACCCTACACACCATAAGCCCCAAACGCGTAAACCCGAGTCACCGTAGTTCCAGTTTTGTACTGAGGTCTGGTATCTCGAGACAAGCACGACATCGGAGTCCCTGCCCATTGACCCGTCGCTCGGCTGCTTTTTGCTTTCCAAGATGTTGGGGCTTACAGTTGTGGCTTTGGGGTTGTGGCTTTGGGGTTGTGGCTTAGGGTTTGTGGAATTCGGGCATTCGGAATGTTGGTATTTGTATGGTCGATTTGGATAATAGTGAGGTATTGATAGCGGAATTGCAAAACGAATCCGAAAGCACAAAGCTATTTAGTGAGTTACGTTCGCGAAGCTGGGGCTTTGAATGGCCAATGCAACATGGTCGAGTCTGAATTCGTTTCGAACCCCAAGACCGGCATAGACCTCACAAAGTCAGCCGCGAACCATGAAAAAATAGAGTTTCAAAACTTCACCGTGGACCGACGCAGAACAACAGCCCGGCTGAATGTAGGAACCACACTTTCGTAACTCTGAGCAAAGGCTTCACGCTAAACATCTAGTTATTGTGGTCGTAATTCCTAATATGCAAGCACAAATCTTCAGCAATACTGTTTCTGAGGGTCGCGGGCGTAATTGTAGTTCCAATACCCCAAGGCCCTCTTACATAAGAGCCAGAATCAATCCGGCTGTCGGAATGCGCTAAGCCACAAGCCTCAAATCCTCCTTCCGAGGATGGTCTTGAGACTCTTCCGATTGGTAAAGCTTGGCCGAGTGGTTCCTCAGATGCAGGATCTGGTAACGCGGTCGACTTTTGTGAGCTTGGAAACATTGAAGAATCGGATCTGCTGCTTCCGGTCTGCCTGCATATGTGATCTGGTGGATGCAGGAACTTGCTAGCTTTGTGATGCTCCTAAACCCTAACCCCTTAATCCCCAACCCCTAAACCTTTCAACCGTGTTGGTGAAGTTGCATCTTCGTCGCATCAGTGTGCATCTCTAGATGAATGGAGATCTCGCGGGTCAATGCTCGTAGAGCCATTGTATTGAAGCCTGCATGGTAATCAACATGATTCCGAAGGAAAGTGCATGTTGATATCATGCTATAGCCAGAATGTACCACAAGGCCCTAATTTTGATACTTAAGGCCCCCGAGAGTAGGGCCGTACGGCTTAAAGGCTTTGCTTTAGGGTTTTGGGGTGGGGGCCGGAGCGGCTGACGCAGCATTGTAACTATGTCCATAGAGCTCGCCGCCGGCAGCTAAACCTTAGCCACCAAGGCAGATGCTTCCGAGGGAGCCCTTTTGGGAATAGGGTGCGGTTTGGAGCTTAGGCCCTATTTTTGAAGACCCACAATCCCAAAGACCTGAAGCAAAGGTCCGGGTTCGGGTTGTCGAGTCGAGTCGAGTGAAGCACTATGCCCCGAAGGGTCTAGCTTGGCCACTGCTGTAGTTGTACTGGGTGGTTCGGGTTGTCCGTAGTCGCTCCAGTGCTTCGGGAAGAAGAGTCTTTCCTTAAGAAATAGAAGTCGACATCAGGGCAGCCCTAAGCTGTCAGGACCCTGACATCTACAGTACGATGGAGTCAGGCGTTTACAGTCCTGTTTAGGCTTTCAACTGTGCCGCATGGTTAGGCACATTTTTCAAGTACTGAAGGTGTCGGAATATATTGCAATAGTATCCCCTCAGAGCCCCCATAAATTTTTTGGTATTATGTAACCCCCAAAACCGCCAATTCCAACTCCCCCTGCCAAGCCCCCCCCCCCCCGCACGTGTATGTTCCGTGTTCATGCAAGCCGGGAGCTTCTTAAGCAGTCGGGCGCAGAGTAGCTCCCAAACCGAACGCAGCTTCAAACCTGTTGTCACAACACCCTGCCTTAACCCTACCAGAGAGCACTTTGGTGTAGGATTCCTATTAAACTCCATGTGAGGGTTTATGATCAGAATCTACTTTTTGTAGGTGCCATCTCAAGGTACACCAGAAGCTCGAAGGCGCAAAAGTCGAAAAACCAAGCCCGAAGCCCTTAACCCCTCAACCACCAAACCCCAAAAGTAGGGCTATAGGGGCCTCAACAACTACCAATACTACTTTGGGTGTTCCTTGTTATAATTATAGTAGAATGGGCCCCCAAACCCTATTCTAATTAAGAAGGCCCCTACAATATTCCTGACCTTCCAATCCCTGGACCTCAGGTGAGGCTAGTGCGAATTCTGGAGAAGTACGATGCACTCTACTTGTGCCTTGCTTGTGCGGTTTCAGGGCACTGAAGCTTAGGGTCGTGCGTGGGGTTTGGGGGCTTTGGGGGCTTGGGAGTTTGAGGGTCTCGGTTTGGGGTTTAGGGTTTAGGGTTTAGGGTTTAGGGTTTGGGGTTTAGGGTTTAGGGTTTAGGGTTTAGGGTTTAGGGTTTTCTAATGGAAAACCAGTAGAGACGTTGTTACAGAACCGAATCCTTAATGTAGGAAGCTGATGAAGAAACCCTGGGCCTATAACCCCAAACTAGTAGGATTCATATAAGGAGCCCCAATAAAGGCCCAAGGTTTCTTAATCAGGTTCCTACATTATCTTGTTTGGGAGTTCATGGCGTTGGCTTTCGTGTTGGTTGGCCTCGGGCCTGCATCCTCGCGGCTTCTGGGCCTTAACCGCACACCACAAAGAATCCCAAATCCTAAGTCAGAAACAGCAAGGGATCCCAAGATCCCAAGAAACAGCAAGGGATCCCAAGACGACGGCCGTTAAGAAGTGCTCGGCTTGCACTTCTCCGGTTTCTGATGCGTTGCTTGGGGCCCAGAGCGGAGGTAGAACCCTGGGCAGCAAGCTAGGTTTAGGGTTGATGCTTTGGGGCTTCGCAAACACCGAATCGATGTCTGTTACATTTCAGGCCACCCCCCATACACTTCTCAAATCCTTGAGCCATCCGTTACGTGGCTTCTGGTACAGTGCAGGGTGTAAGGTTTAGGTTTTAGGGCTGTAGAACCCCCCCTCCCACCCCCGAAAACAAGAGAAAGAGCAAGGATGTCTTGAGCCCTAAACCCAAAAGGGCCCCAAAGCGCCAAGGATGCTCACCTCCATCAAGGGCAGTGTGGCCGCTCTGGCTTGGTCCAGCATCCTCCTCCTCGTGGCCCCTTGGTGATTGATGGGTAGTACTTAAGGCCGTTTTTGATGTGTTGGTGCTTTCTATACTAGAGCCGAATAGAATTTTGGTGGCATATTGGGTTTGTTGGGCTTTGGGGTAGAGTGACGTGTGCTATGTAGGGTCTCAGCATTTTGTGCTGTGTAGTTTGGGTAACTCAGGGTCTGGAGAAGTTGCAGTTGTTCATACGTTACGAAATGATACAAAGGCCTTCCCATGAATAAGGAAAGGCCTTCGTACGTCTGGCTTGAAGACACAAAGCCCTTCATTGGCCCTTCATACTGCCCCAACTCAGTAATAGTTGAAGAATACGTAGAAAAAGGTATGTTCGGGCCATGAATAGTCGCCCTGTTCATGACTCTTCCCGTATCGGGGCAGGACCCCACGAACAACTGTGTTTCAGAGTGCTGGCTACGGTGCAAGAATATGGTGAAGTTCAGGGCTCAGAAATGGGTGGTTGTCAAAATTTTGGGGTCCTGAATATAATACGACACCTACATAGGGCACCCAGGAAGGGACTATAATTTTGACAACTACCCGAATAGCATCACCGAGATGATTCTGCTGTGCCACTTTGCTGCGTGGACTTTCGCATGCTTTTGAGACATCTCATAGTTTTCGGATGCAAGCTTCGACGCAGCTTCGACAGTTTTGAACCTGAGGCTTGGAGGGCTATGGTGTAGGTCATCGTTCTGCCTGGACCAGGTGCAAATGATGCTGTCCCTAGTCATGGCCACCGTCCTGGAGGCGCCCTGGCACGAGTATGAGGGATTAGGGAGATGGGCGGAGCCTGCGCCTTTTGGATCCGGACCTCCTTTCACCCGTCGCCCATCTCTTTGAACCCGAAGCCTTACCCACATACCCTGAACTTTCACTACATCCTAATGGAAGTGCAGAGTTGAGGTCCCCCTTGCAGTGAGCCATCCAAGGCATACTTTTTGGACGACAACTGGCCGGGAGACAAGCTGAAGGTGGAGAGGGTTCAGCTGAGGCTTGAAGAACTACATCCCACCTACCACCATCCCCATGCCCAAATCCCGGGGCTTCGGTACGTTGGACCTTAGATTTCAAGCCCGAAGCCCCAAGCGTAGTTCCCCAAATGGATATGGGTGGTTGTCAAAATTATGGTCCCTTTGTGGGTACCTATTCTAATGCGGCACCTCATATTTAGGGCACCCAAAAAGGGACCCTAATTTTGACAACCACCCATATGACGAGGTCTACGACTACTATGGCACATTCTCGCGGTCGATGCTGACGCAGCCCAGCCAAAAGCAGTCAGGCTTCGGGCTGAGACACGAGGCCCTAGATACTAAACTCTAAATGCCAAACCCTTAAGCCCTAAATGCTGTACCCGAAAACCAAAATACAAAACCCTAAACCCTAAACCCCAAATGCTAAACCCTAAACCCCAAAGCGCCAGTTAGGGCTTCGGACGTGTTGGAGTCAGGCATGGATTGACAGTTCAACCGAGACCCAATCATAGGAGGCCAAAAGGGGTTTTAGCCTATGGGGGTTTAGTAGGGATTAGGCTTCCCATAATCGGGTTCATAATAAGGAATGCCTACCCCAAGAATCTTTAGCCTCCCTTTTGGCTTCCCATCAGGAACCCCACTTAGGCAGTCAACTCTGAACTCCTTGAACTCGACTCTACGCCTTAAACTCTCGTTGTCCTAGAGCCGCGACTCGCAGCTCCTAGGAAGAAGGAGGCCAAAACAAAAAAATTCTCGTTGTCCAAGCCAAGGATGTTTGAGATCACGCTCGCCAACTTCATCCCTGCCTGTGCCTCAGTTCGGCGCAAGGCTGACGAGCCAAGAGCACCAAATATGATGCATCTTTTTTCATAAAAAACATGTTTCCATGAAAAAACATCATAGTTCGTAGGTGAAAAAGGCTTTAAGACAGCAAAACCCCAAAACTTAGTCTTAAAGCCCCAAGGTCTTGACAAGCAAAGGCTTTAAGACCCAGCTCGAACCCTAAACTCTAAACCCCAAACCCTAACAGCCCTAAACCCTCGACCTTAAACCCTGAACTCTAAGCCCTTAGCCCTAAAGAAACAGCCTGCAAAGTTAGCTTCGGCCGAGGTGACCAGGGTCATGGTCACGAACTTCAGCCAGGCAGGGTGTAGAAGTCAGCTTCAAAGCAAAGCCTAAACCCTGATGCCCACAGGATTTTAGGGGTTTCAGGGTTTAGGTTTGGGGTTCTTGTTCAGTACTTCATGCTAATTTACTATTGACCCCCTATTATGGTAGCTTAAATTAGACTCCCTAACAAGAGCGCAGTTCAGGCCTTGGTTGGGGCCCCGATCATCTTCCACCGGTTCTAAAGGCCTACACCCTACCATTACCAAGAAGACAGGTCGCTGCTCCAAAAACCGCGAATCCCAATTCTTAGACCCTCAAGATTTCAGGGCCGGATCAACACATCCAAGAGATATATAACAGAGCGCAGCAGAAGAGTAGAAATGGGAGTACTCGCCATCCACATGTGCAGGGGCTTGATGCGGCAATAACAAATAACGGAATGCTAATCTTCGAAACGGACTGCTGGCGATCCAGGCACTGTGGGAAGATACAGCCCGAATTTCGAGGTCATTGTGCGTGGGGGCTACTCAAGACTCAAATCTGTGTCCGTCTCGAACTCTCAGATCCTTTACCCCACCAGTGTAAGCACTTTGGATCCATATGGTTGTCTTTTGAAAGGAACAGCTAGGGCGGCGATAGATCCGGGAATCTTTTGCACTAGAGTTTCGTACCTTGCCCAGCATGCAGCGCCAAGCAGCGGTACTGCTGTGGGTGAAAAGGCGAGCAGCCGAAAGCCTCAACCTAAGGAGCCTGTACAGCGAAGATAAGACTGACAGGGCGAAGCAAGAGGCTTGAAGCCCCGACACAGTCCGCTCCTCATATCCGTGCAAGCTAAGTCGAGGGTTGGGGCATACGGCGATTCGAGCTGACGGGTCATACTCGGGAGAGTCCGGCTTGGAGCTCCAAACAGTGTCGCGGGTTTCAGGGGCCTTCAAGCACCCGGCCATGCATCCGCGGCAGGCCTACCTTATCTTCGGCCTGATGCACAAATTCTTTATTGGCCGATTCCTCAGCCGTGGCTTTTGGGGATGGTGTCGCCCAAATACTGAGACGTCCGAAGCGGTTTTTGAAGGGTCAGCTTCTTGAGGAGTCCGCTTGCGGATCGTAGGTTGCAGTCACGACCGGAACACAGCGACGAAATTTTGTGTTTACGTTTACATGCTTCTCCATATTCATTATTGCCGAGAGCCTGGAACCAGAACAGCACTTTCAGATAGCTACTGAGCAGCTACTGTCATCTGTTTGTCTCGCACAGGTCTCTTCAAGAGTTTCAGAAGGTTGCAAGTTCAGCTGGCGAGCAACCTCTTATTCCAGTACTTTCTTTGCAACCTTGAAGAAGTACCCCCTTTAGTGACCTCGGAGCAACCGTATAGTGACCTCTTTTACTAGCAGATACTGGGAATGCTTCCGAAGCTTCGGCCTCAACCCCTAAAACCCTAAAACCCTAAACCCTAAAGCCCTAAGCCCTAAACTCTGAACCCTAACACCCTAAGCCCTAAAACCTTAAAACCCTAAACCCTAAACCCTAAACCCTGAACCCTAAAACCCTAAGGCCCCAAACCCTAAACCGTAAGGCCCTAAACCCTAAAACCCTAAGGCCCTAAACCCCTAAGCCGTAAGCCCTAAACGCTACACATTGTTCGCATTCTCGGGGGGGCCTTTCAGGGCTTCACCTTCCTGGGTCTTTGCTTTGAGTGGCGATGCAAAAACCCGGCGGGCCCCCGAGGTTTTTGAGAGCACCTTGGGGCTTAGGACTCCTTGTTTACGTAGAATACCCCTAAGCCCTGTCAGCATCAGGAGTTAGGGCTAAGCACTGAGGGTCTAGGGTTCGGGGTTTCGGCTGTTGGATTAAGAGGGGGGGGGTTTAGGGCCTAGTTAGAGACAGTGCCTGAGCTCAAAGAATTTCAAGTATCCCGAAGAGTCGCAAGAGGAATCCGCACACAGACTCAACCCAGTTGCCTGCAAGATGTCTTTCTTGCGTGCGTGGAAAATGCCCGTTGAGCTGCACAGGCTTTGCCGTGGTCATGGTCATCACCGGAGTGTTCATCCAGGAGCCATGCATTTCGGTTGACAGCTTCGGAGAGTTCTGTGGCTCAAGGTCCAGGTTGCTCCGAGCTTCTTCATAAGAGTGTTGTTCTTATCCCCTGGTGAGTTCTCTTTGAAGGCCAGCAGCCAAGGGCCGATGCAGATGTTGGTTTCTGGGTGTCTAGGAGTGTGCACACGAGGGTTCCAGATGTTGAAAATGTGGGTCTAGGGCCTAGCCAGGCTTGTGTACGCAAGTCGGTGAGGTTCGCGACATGGAAGTTTCCCTAAATAGGGGACTCAATATAGTGCCCTAAATAGTATGATCTTTATTCTACAGACCCCACAATAAGCTAACCCTAGTTGTCGGAAACTCCCGTGTTGGCTCTCGCGTACTGATGATGGAAGACTAACTCCCTCGTCAGCTCCCAGGCTCAAAACCACACATCTACTGTAGGGGCCTCAATAATTACCAGTACTATTTATTACTATTTTGGGGGTTCCTTATAATAATAATGATAATAATAACAATAATAACAATAATAAAAATAACAATAACAATAATAATAATAATACTAACAACAATAGCAATAATAATAACTATTATTAATATATATATATATATATATACACACATATATATTACCCTTCAACCCCATCCTAATTATTAAGGCCCCTATGTTACACATCCCAAATGCTCAAGAGCTGCCAAAGAAAGCGAGCGAGGAGACGATGAAAGTGGCTCAGACGGACAACACCATCATGCTGATGCTTGGCAGCATTTCCGTGGCGTCCGGAGAGTGTCAGGGTTTAGGGCTTAGGGTTTTTATGACCAGTCCAGAATTTGGGGGTTTAGGGTTTAGGGGTTTATGGTTTAGGGTGTATGGTTTAAGGTTTAGGGTTTATGGTTTAGGCTTTAGGGTTTAGGGTTTTTAGGACCACGGCTCCTGCAGGAGCTAGGCTGATTTGGTTTATTCTGGGGTTAGGCAGGGCCGAGGCTGCTTATGAGGGGTCTGTTGGGGGTGTACTTAAGGGATCATGGGACTTAGTAAATAGGGTTATAATTAGGGTAACTATACTTATAACCACTTATATCCCCAATTAAGATATTTCTAGCCTTACTTACTAAGTCCCATGATCTTCCAAGTAGGACTTCAGCCTTTGGCTTTCGATTTGCTTTATACTGTAATCCGGTCCGGCAAGGGTGGTGGATGTGAAGAGTTGAAACACATGAGCATGAAGAGTACAAAGGGTTGTGATACCACGCGGAAGCAGCCGCTGCAACCACCAACATCTGGCCCTGAAACTTGAAATGCCCATTCCTTAGCTCTAAACTACACTAAACCTCATACCGGCGTGGAGCCGCCATTGCTCAGGACGCAGCGGGAACGATCTTCGAATCTGCACACAAGGCCACACGTGGGGGGTCCTTATTATAAGAATCCTACTATTGAGGGTACTATATTAGGGTCCCCTATTTCCGGAAACTCCCATGTTTTGTATCAATACTTCGTAGATCGCTCACATTGCACGTGGGTTTCGTTTCGGATTGAGCTGCTTCTATAGTTTCCTTAGGAAGCATGTTTTATTTTTCTTCATATAAACCCCAAGAGAATATTCAACACATTATTGTTGCCATGGTTCTAAGGGGGGTATAGGCTTGTGCAGAGAGCATCAGAAAGTCGACCCAAGACACGGTGATGGCAGATGGGAAGGCGAAAAGTCTTGCCGACTGAGAACTGCAAGTCTAGCTGTTGAAACCCCCTAAACCCTACACCCTTAACCCCAAATCCTCCCCGAATCCAAAGTCTTTTAGTCCGAAACTCGAAAAGTCGCCTAAACCCTAAATCCCTAAAGCTCTAATAACCTAAAGCCCCAAACCCTACCCCCCCCCCCCCCCCCGCCTTTGAAGGAAGATCAAGACCTTGTTTGACATGGCAGACTCGGATGGCAGTGGGCGCCTGGACATGGAGGAGAGCCCTGCAGGTTTTTGTTTGGGGCGGCACGTGCTGTCACCCCGACACAGGCTCAACCTGTTGCACGTATTTGACAACTGCTGCCAAGACTCTTGCTCCCGGGGAAGATGCCTTGATGCAGAGTTTAAGCCTAAATGAATGCAATCAGGTAGGCACCCAGCCGGTGGCTACGGAATGACACATCAGAAACTCGTCACAGTCGCCGGTCGAAGTAGTGTTCAAGGTATAACATGGGCAGGTATGTATGTGTATATACAAAAATTTGTTCACACACACACACACACAATCTCGAACTACGGTCGCAGTGTAAATCAACATCAAGCTTAACTGCATCCGAGCTGCTGGTTGCGGCCAACAGTCCTCCAGATTCCTTCTCAAAGCCGCAACAGGGTGATGCAAATTCAGGCGCCGATAGGGCTGATGCAGGAACTGCTCTCTTCCTTGCTGAAAGGTGCTCTTATTACTCTGCACCCTCCAGTTTTGATGAGACAGACGAGCACCTTGATGGTCTCCGACAGTGGTTGCAGAACATAGTCTGTCAAAGGGGAAAAGGAGGGTGGGCTGTAACAGGGCATATGATTTTTTTCTACTATGTTCATTTTTATTCAGAGGGAGGGAGACAGACAGAGAGAGAGAGAGAGAGAGAGAGAGACAGACAGACAGACAGAGAGAGAGAGAGAGAGAGAACGATAGGTACAGACTTGAGTATAATCCTGTTTTTCGTGACTTGCTGGCATAAAACTCCGCACAACTTCTTCAACCACCCTGAACCCTGTGGCTCTCCGACCCCCAGCGGAAAGGAAAAAGGCCTTCAAGAACACACTCAAGCCCTACTGAAGCTTTTTCCTTGTCACACTGCATAGTAGATGTGTGGTTCTCTAAATCAGAATACGCTTTTTACATCCGAAAATACGACCCTTCTCATCTTGAAAAGTGACCCTAGTTTAGAGCACTACCCACATGAGAATGCACACCACAGTCGCTACCGTTCTTTTGCTTCGACAACTCGCGCCCTTGTGTGCCAGTGAGACATCCTGCAGCGAAGGTGAGGTATATACTGTCATGCTTTAGAGCACCACATTGCGCAATTCATTTTCAGCCGCTCGTTTTGGCGCTACGAAGCGTCTCCTGAAAGCAATACTATCCTTTCTCGTCTGTGCTGGCAGAACATGCATGTGAGTGGTTGTCAAAATTATGGTCCCTTTTTGGGTCCATATTATAATACGGCACCTATTATTTACGGCACCCAAAAAGGGACCCCTATTTTGACAACTACCCATGTGTGGGGCCCACTGCAACGCCAATCTGCTCCCGGTCTTCATCTGAGCCCTCAACCCTACTTGCAGGATCATGGGACTTAGTAAGTAAGGTTATAAGTACCTTCATTGGGGTTATAAGTAGTTATAAGTATAGTTACCCTAATTATAACCTTAGTTACTAAGTCCCATGGACCTTTAAGTAAACCTAAACCATCCCAAAGATGGCTTCAAAACAGCTCGCCCAAATGGGCCTCTGCGCACAGGCCAAGAAAAGGGCCCTCCAAAAAAACATCCCAAAGCCTAGATTTTTCCACAAAATCCCTAAACTTCTTAGCAGCAAGTCCATGAGGAGTTTGTGGAAGTCTGCGAAGACACCTCCATGAAGGCTCCTCGGTTCGGGATTCTTCGGGTCGCTTGATCCGGGTTTCGGGTTGCAGCAGTTTCGGGGTTCGGGCTTAAAATTCTATGAAATTGTTCCAAGCGGAGGCATTGAAACTCTGAGCCCTCAGCCATAGACCCCTGACCCTAAACCCTAAGCTTCGTGAGATTGAGGTTGAAGCTTCAATGCATGTACAGGGCCTATGTCTCGCTCTTCGGGTCTCAGAACGTGCGGGGCCTCCGAAAGCATTTCTTATGTAAGCCCTAAACCCAAAACCCTTATGGGATGGTTAGTTGAAGACGCTTGCCAAGATTGAGTGGGTTTGGGCCTAAAGCCTGCCAGGAAGAGGTTTGGGTGGTGTCGCCGCCTTGAGCCCTCAAAAAAATCCGACACCTTCTAATCCCTCAGAAATGAAATAAGCAGAAATTGCTTGTCATTGTTGATGTTGAACCCCCGAAACCGTCAATTTCAGTCCAGCGCCGCCCACTCCTAGCCCTACCAATTCCAGAACATGGTTCCAAAAAGAAATCCTGCTCAACACGTTTCGGTCAGTACGTTTCGGTCAAGACTGATTTCGCACCCATAAAGCCTCAACAGTTTCTATCAGCCTAAACCCATGAACCCAGAAATCCATACACCCCGAACCCTAAACCCTTTCGTCGACGGCTTGCACCTCAGGCGGCAAAAAGGAGCAACAAAAAGAAACTAGACCCCTAAACCCTAAAACCCCAAATCCTTAGAGCCGTTAACCCCGATCCATACATCTGCTTGCAGCTTTAAAACCGTAAAATCCCCAAAGCTTAAAATCCTAAACTCCTATCAACTCTAAACCCCAAACCCACAGGATGTGACTTCAGCTCTCAAAAACCATAAAATATCGTACCCTTATACAAAACCCTTATAGATCCCTTTCAGGAACCGTACAAAGGGGACCCTAAAAGAGGTGACCCTAATCTAAAGAACTACCCAAATCTCACTTCAGCTCTCAAACCACAAAGCCTTCCGCAGATGTGGCTTTCGGCCATGGGCTCCCTGGCGGAAAAGCATTAGTGGATATAAATCCTAGGGTTCCTTCAAGATCTATAGGGTGTGGTGTTGAGGGTTTCGGGTCGATGCTACAAACCAAGCATCACCTTAATGACCCCTAGGCTATGGGAATTCTGGCATCTTCCTTACTATGGGTAATGCAGGATTTATATCATCCGTAGGAGATCGAAGGTTCCTCGTTATAGTAGATACTTAAGCCTCAAAGGGGTCGTTATGCAGGTACTTGAAGGCCTAAGTATATACTATGTGGGTACATGGAGCCTGAGGAATAACAGATGGAAGACGGCCTCAGTACCGAAATTATGGTAGAATGCAGGAGTTCTATATGGGTGGTTGTCAAAATTAGGGTCCCTTCTTGGGTCCTTAATACAATACGGCACCTAATCTTTCGGGTACCCGAGAAGGGACCATAATTTTGACAACTACCCATATTAGGAATTACAGGTTGATTGGGGAGAGTATCTCCCGCTAGGCAACCTGTAGGGTTTACTTAAAGGATCATGGGACTTAGTAACTTGGGTTCTATTTAGGGTAACTATACTTGTAATTGCTCATAGCCCCAATTAAGGTAATTGTAACCTTACTTACTAAGTCCCATGATCCTCCAAGTAGGGTTCTTGGAGTTTAGGAACAAGCCAGAAAGTTGGAACATTAGTATCCTCATGCCCTTAAGGTAAAGGATAAGGGATCCTAGCACTAGTCATCCTAAACTCACGTTCCAGCTTTCTGGCTTCTACTGCAGGGGTCTTGGGGTTTTGGGGATGAGGGTTTAGGGTGGGGTTACGAGCTCGGGTTGCGGAAGAGATTTCGTGCACATTTCGGAGATGCTGACTTGGCCAGATGTAAGGTCCAGCACCGAAAACTCCAGCGAGTATGGCTACGGCATCTCTCTGAAATAACTCCACGGATGTACATCCATTCTCGGAGGATCATCACTGCAAGGAACCCCTAAATGATGAAGATTCCCCTAATTCGAAGGACCTCCTTTCCTTCAGGTATTTGGAAACGCTGAATCCTAGATCCTACCCCTATTTACCCTAAACCCTAAACCCAGCTCTTCCGAGGACTGGATGTCTCGGATGCCAAGGGGGTCTTTCAGCTCATCTCTGAGCAGCTAGACTCTGAAGATCTCTCCGCCCGAGGCGCCTTGGCGTTCGGATGCCTCTTATGAGAATTGGGAGTTTCGGAAAAGAGGGGACCCTAATATACTACCATAAATAGTAGGATCCTTATGATAAGAACTTTAAAATAAGGTACCCCCAATTTTCGTAAACTCCCAGTTCGAATAGCCCGAGTATTCCCTAATGATCCCCATATCATTGGAGTAAGCATACCCCAAAACCCTATTCAGGGCTTAGGGCTTGGGGTGATAGGGGTTTAGAATTTACAGTTTAGCCAACTCTCGACCGTCAAGTCAGACGTAGGGTAACGATACTTATAACTCCTATTCGGGGACTTATAACCCTACTTATAACTACCCATGAACCTCCAAGTAGGGTCTGAACCTCTCAGTCTCAATCTCGGCAAAAGCCCCTGCAGAATTGGTCGCCGGCGTCGCGCGCCTGAAGGGCGCTGCGAGGCAGGGGCTCTTTTTGTGGTACTTGCTGCAGGGGATTACGGACTCCACGTGGGAGAATGCCGAAGCAGAGGGCTTTGGGAAGAGTCTGTGGCATGGGGCCGAAGGTGCGCGGGCTCCTCATTTGGGGTCCGGTACGCCAGGTGCACACTTTTTGGAGGTTGCAGGTGTTCTCGCGGGCACGCCCAAGCCCTCGAATGCTTCGATCTCCCCGGATCTCCTTCCGAAGCTTCAAGACTTTAAGGGTGACCTTGCGGAATCCCCCCCGAGTTCTTCCCCCCCCCGACCGACTTCTGTGAACAAACCCAAGAGCATCGGAACAGAAATCCTTGGATCCCGAAGGATCCAGGGACCCTTGAGGCCCTGGAGCCCCGAAGCTCAGTGCGTACTAATCGGGGCCTCAATAAGTACCTGTACTATTTTGGTGGTTCCTTATTATTATTTTTTTGGTAAATTGGGCCCAGAACCCTGTTCGAATTATGAAGGCCCCTATCTGAGTCTCCACCCTCTTCTGCAGGAACATCGACCTGGCTATGTTGCGGCAGGAGAATCAAGAGATCCTGAAGAGGGTGAACCAGCTTCAGGCCGATTCCTTGAGGGGTTTAGACGGTTTAGGGTTTAGGGGTTTAGGGTTTTTAGGGTTTAGGGTTTAGGGTTTAAGTTACCATAATAAGGAAACCATCAGGGATCTATAAGGGTTCCTTTAAGGGTTTCGGGCTTAGTTACAGTTCAGTAAACATGTCGTGGGCGCCTTAGTAACCAGGGATACTGGTCCTCAGGGTTCCTTTCCTTTCTTCGATTTTTTGTTAATCTGCCTCAGGCCAATGGTTGTTTACGGGTTCAAGCATGTTGGGGTACAATATCGGGGCCTTGGTTCATTAGCAATGCTACTTCTTAGAGCTCTGCTTGTAACTATAGTGCAGGTTATACCAAAAGTCTACTCTAATTCTAACGCTACGCCGCTCGCCTCTGCTGTGGGTAGCGAAGTACAAGGAAGGGAAGGGAACGAGAAGAGGCTCTTTCCAGAACTGCTTGTCGGATTGCATTTGGGCTGCAGGGAGGAGGATTAGGTAGAGGGTACTTAATATAACCATCAAGACGCCCTAGGTCAGGAAGATGTAAGGTGTATGAGGATGGTTGTGCATGCCACGGTCTTGGGTTGCGGTGAGGCAGTCCCCGTCTCCGGAAGCCTGAAACCGAGTATTAACATAGGGGCTTAAATAATTGCCAGAGCTATCTAGGGGTTCCTTGTTATAGTTATAGTTTCATATTAAGACCCCTACTTTACACGGCAGAGCGGCGCCCTGCAGAAAACGCTCAACGAGATCGGCGAGAGCATTGAGTGCGAGCTGTGAGCCTGGGACGGGGTTCGCCATGGGCTGTGCGCTGATTTTGATATATAAATCCCGTAGTAGGTTTGTATACATTCATACATATGCACAGGCAAGACACATGTGAAGTTCCAGCAAACCTTCAGTATCAGTCCAGGCTCCCGGCTTTGGCCCGCTGTTGTGCAGTCACCGCATTTGGCTCTCTGAAGATGCGTGCACTTGTGCCACGAAGCTGCAGCGGATGCAGCCGGAACCCGAAGCCCTAAACCACCAGCCACGCACTTACCTCGCATGTGTGGACCAAGCCTGGGGAAGCCTTAGGTCGCAAGAAAGTCTCACAGTATCTAGAGCTTTGAATGTCTAGAAGTTGCTTGCGTTTCAGTTTCAGGATCATGTCCTGAATCGTGCCGCTTATGACTACATGGCAGTAGGATCTAGGTTTGCATTAGCGCGTTCATGAGAGCGGCCTTTCTTGATTGACAGTGCCTGGCTTTGCAGTCTGAGTGAGACATTAGGCAAAAGGGTTTAGGGTTTAGCAAGAAGTCAGCCACTTGGTTCATTGCAGTTCATCGCTTCGGGCCGGGGTTGAGAAGCTAAGCACATGCCACGTGATACCCACAGGCCAAGAAAGGCTTTCAACACTGACAGCCGTAAACCCCAAGTCCCTAAACCCTAAACCCCTAAACCCTTTAGGGCCTAAGGGGTTTAGGGTTTAGGGTTTAGGGTTAGGCTGTAAGCCCCCAAAAATACCCGACTGCTGGCATTCCGCGCTGGCTTGTTTTGATGCGACTCCCCTCCTTTAAGAAGGACCGGGAACCAGCTTGGCTGGGGCAGGACCTCTGTGGTCTCAGTACTCCAGGGATCACTTGCAGAATCAATCCTTTCTTTCATTTTAACATGCAGAAGTATCACTTCTACCAGGAGCCTTCTTGTGTTACTTTTCCTTCATGCTGACCAAGAATGGTAGCCACCTGGGTTCGTAGGTGGGAGTGGGATATCTTCGAATCAAGGATGAGTGGAGAAGCCGTGGTACCATACCGGCTGCAGAGGTCCGGCAGTCGCATGGAGTTTGGTCGAAGAGGCCACCGTTTTGCAAGTGCAACGTTTCTATCCTTCCTTTCTTAAAGAAAG